TTAACTTGAAAAAAAAGTTGAAATGGTTTATTAACAAACAACGTTAAAATTAGAACGGGTACATTGCAAGAATTTATGAAACTGTATTGGTGGTACTCTTATTATCTTTTTATACTCCTGCCAGAAACTCAATTGGTGGTACTCCTATTACCTTTTTGTACTCCCACAATCCTATATAGAGAGAAATGTGAAGAATTTTTTGTAGGCCTTTAGATTCAAGTTCTAACTCTTGTGTTGTCTCTCTCTCCTCTTTTTGCACTTCTTTCTCGTTGTGAGAATTTGGTGGAAATCCAACATCATCACAGTCCCTGCTTCTTGATACACATATTAAAATAGAAGGTAATTGTTGAGTGCATTAATGAACCGTTGCCTTCTTTTGTTATAAGGCTTCATAATGGTTTGAAACATTGCCTTATATGGTAGGCGTTAGTTTCTTCCTTTTTTTTTTTAAATTTAGGATAATTAATTTTTTTAAAGGGTAAATAGGTAATTTAACTTTTAACATAAGGTCTTCCCACTTTTAATATAGTATAGATTAGTATTAATGAGTATCTCTTTATTTTAAGAATTGAATAGGGAATATCAGTTATATCCACATCCCTTTATACCTACTCCGTCTCTCTCTCTCCTTCTCTATTATTTCCCCAATTTTTCTTCCTTCCATGTTCTCTGCTTTTTATCCTTTTAGATTCTATAGAGTTTTAATGGAATTCATCAATGGATTTCAATCGTTTTACTATAGAGTTTTAACTTAGCAATTTTCTTTTATGTTGCACAATTGGTGTTCGAATTGAAATTGCCAGTCAATAAATTTTGAAGGTATTTAGCTCTCTACTATTGACAGTCATTAAAAAGATTTGGAACTTTGAATTCGAATTTTGTTTTTCAAAAAATATTATTTGATTGGAGTAGGTGTTGTTGCAAACAATTGAGAATATTATTTGAAGTTTATATCTTAATTTTGAGGGTGTTTGGTGAAGATTATACTTGATTTTGGCTGAATTCAAATTGAAACTCGAAGAAGAAGAATAAGAATACATGACATACAAAATTGTGTTAAAGTTGTATTATAGTTGTATGTAATTTGTATTTAAGTTTTATTCTGTTGTAGTTATATATTTTTTTCTATTTGAATGTTGTATGAAAGTTGAAAAATAGGATTTAGCTAAGTGCTACACTCATTTCACAAAGCTATCAAGAAGGCGTTAATGGTGGAAAAAGAGCTCAAGAATTATGGAGAGGATTTAGCTAAGTGCTATACTCATTTCATGGTCCAAGTCCAAGTCCAAGAGGAGGTAGATTGTGGTCCAAGCACCAGTCAAGGAGGGCCTAAATTAGCGCCTAAATCAACTCACAAAGGAGCCAACTTGGTGCCGAAGTCAGCTCAGGGAGGGGCGGCCAAAACATAGGAAAAGGAGTCAAGGTCCCTTATTTTGTTTCCTAGTTTGTTAGGACATATTTGATGTTTTCCTAGGTAGTTAAGGTTTTGTTTTTCTTTTCCTAAGATTATTGGAATTACTTTCCAAGATTGACTTGGTTTTTGTTTCCTAGAGTTTTACCTTTTCCTATGGTAGTTGGACTTGTTGTCCAAAGTAGTTTAGGACTTTATTTCCTTGTTTTTTTAAGTAGAATTTCGTGACCCATTCCCTATATAAAGGGGTATCTTCTTTGCTTTTATATTCAGACTATTATCAATAAAAATTGTGAGATTTTTCTTGCACTCTTGTGTGTGGCTACTCTTGAATTTATTCTTCAACCTTCAAAACTCAACTTAAGGTGGTAAGATTAAACTCTTTTGAAATCTTAGATCACTTCTAGGTATTCAAGAAAGGTGATAAGTTTAGGCTTATTGTTGTTCTTGTTATTCTAAAGGGTCGGGTTTCACAATCTATCTCTTGTTTTTAATTCTCTACCAAAGGCGATTAGTTCTTTGTTAGCTAATTGTTGTTGTTAGAATTCAATTTCAAGAATAGACTTCTTGAATTCAAGAAACCCTTTCTTGAATTCAATCTATCTTTAATTTTCCGTCCTTTTCATTTCATTATTTTCTTTTAGCTTCTGCATGTTTCTTGATTTTCTTTAGTAATTCTTGAATCCCCTATCGTGTTGTTATCAAATGGTATCAGAGCAACAAAAACCAGAACAAAAAAAATGAAAATCAACCCCATCCCCCCAATAAAAAAAGTGTTATTGCTCATTATTATTTTTAGAATTCAAGTATTATTTGGTTTCCAAGTCAAGAAAGGAAACATGAAGAGGTGATCCTTGTTCTTGAAGATTAAGGAAACATCTTTCCTTATTCTTGTGGGTTTTGGGTTTCCTAACATTCTTTCCTTTTTTTTTCTACTAACCAATTCCTATTCTTCCTAGGTTTGGTCATTCACTTTTCTTTCTTTTTCTAACTCCATATTCTTATCACTAAGGGTTGTGACTAGTAAGGTTTATTAATAAATTTAAAGATTAACGACCAAGAGTTGCATTGAGTGGAAAAAGGCAAGAGTGGTGAGAACATCAGAGGGAAAAGCCAAATTGAGAGATATATATTGCTTTGTTCAGGATGTCTCGTACATGTAGTGATGATGAACAAAAGCTTCTTCAAGAAGCCGAAATCAAAGGAAGGAATGATCTCACCTTGCGAGCTATGCACCAACAATTTGAAAGTTGCAATTCCAAGAGATGAGGTGATGTTTTAAACGTCAATACCACACAAGAGGGGAGTGATTTGTCTGGTACCCAATTTTCTTTTAACTGAACTATAGAAGAACCTGGTTCTTCTAGGTGTTCCAACTACTACTGTTTGCGGAATAATAAATAAAGAAAATAAAGAACACAAAAAAAAATTCGTGGAAAACACCTGGCTCAAAAGGTGAAAAAATTACGACCTACTACTCAGTAGGATTTACACAAACTTCCACTAAAATTACTGAGCCAAAACAGCATTTACAGAACTCTTTGTAAACCTAAGGATTAACTCTAATCCCATTGTGGCACACAGCTTCAACTATTGCGACAACTTCAAGTTAACTCTAACTTGAACACCCTAAATACCTAATACAATTACTTCTATGAAAGCTGGAAGGTACAATGTAAAATCACTTGCTACAATTGAACTAGAATAAAAGATAGACATATGGAACTGGTACTATCTCGTTCAAGTAGCTTCAAGATTGCACACTCAAATCACACATAAATTGCTTGCAAAATCACCTTGCTCTTTTGCTCTCAATTTAAGTTTAACTTCTGCTTATGTGAATTACCTGTAAAAGAGAACAACACTGACATTTAATAGGTTAGTAATCATAGATTGATTAGGATTCAAATGCTACTCTTCTATCGTAGAAGATTTCAAGGTGATCTAAAACTCTAACACTATCTTCTTCCTATATTGTGTTCTCTTCATGTAATGAGTCTTTCTCTCCATCCAATATGCAACCTTTTTGATCAGATCAGGAGATATTGCTTCTCCTTCACGTGCATCTCACATGCAAAGGTGATCATAATTGTGCTTCACAAGATGGACCTGGTCCATGTCTGAGTTCTTTTGTCAATCTTCAAAACTTCACCTATTCTTGGGCTAACAAATTCCCCCTTTTTGATGATGACAAACTCTGTGATTTTTACTTACTTGGATCCTGTAAGAACTCAGCTCAACCATCAATACAAAGTTTAGAAAATTCACTTATCATCAAGGACCAGGTTAATTAGGTTATAAATATCACTTATTCAGAATGTGTAAAGCACAATATCTCTTCCCCCTTTTGGCATCATCGAAAAGTTGCATACAAAGTGTGATTCCCAGATTTTAATAAGTAGTCATGGCCACTGGGGCAACTGCAAGTGCAATCATGGTTTAATCATCAGTAATCAATCAAACATATTTAAACTATCAAGGAAAGATTAACATTGAACAAGAGCAAAAACAGTAGATATCATTGATAGAGGATATGTTGCTACCACAATCCATAACCAGAGAGCAAAAAAAACATTTAAAACATGAGTAAAAAAAGATAGAATCCCTAATCCGGGTCACTGAAGGTACTGGATAGATTCAGGAGACAAAGGCTAGAATTCCTAAGGCTTGGAGGAGCTAGAGGGTTGGTTTTGGGCTTGGAGAAGATTCAGCATATTATGAAGAATTCCATCATTCTTCTCCTTTTCCTTGGTAAGCTCAGTTCTGAGAGCATCCCTCTCAGATTCCACCTCTGCCACATGAGCCTAGCTATCTCAACATCCTTGGCTTCACATTCCTGAACAAGAGCCTTGACTTTACTGTTTATAGGAGTCTTCTTGGATGAACCATGTTCATTTGGGATGGCACTGACTAAATAGTCACAAGCAATCAGAGTGTTAATGCCAAAGTGATCCTTGCTTGAGGCCATTTCCCATTTCTTCAGAGGCACATTGCACCTATCCAGAATCGTAGTCAGAATAAAGCCATGGGGGTAGCATGAAACTTGGAGCCATTGATGACCCTGTCCAGCAGCTTAATGATGAAGGCAGGCCAATTAATTTGCCTTCCACTTTCCAGACACTCCATAAGAACTAGGTCCATATAATTTGCAATATGCCTTCTCTCTTGTCTAGGCAATAAGCATTTGTTGACAAATTCAAACAAGACCTTATGTTGTGGCCTCATTTCACTTTTTTGAACAGCCCTAACCTCATTCACATCTTCAGCGTCACAGAACCTCCTGGTAATTTCAAGGGCAGTAGGAAGGGAGTCCAGACAAGGCCACCTTTGCCTTGTATAGGCATCAAACCCTTCAGAGGGTATATCAAGGATCTCTTCTAGTTTTTCTGCATCAAAGGACACTTGAACTCCTTTCACCAGGCTGCTAACCTTGCCATCCTTAACCTCTGCATTTGCCATAAACTCAATGATCTCATTCCTGGCTAGCCTACCATCCATCTGAGGACCATGTCCTTCCACCCCTGAGCAGCTAAGGCATCCACCAGTCTCATCATTCCTGGTTCCACCAGGTTTTTTAGCAATCTACCCTTCAAAATCTTTCTTTTGCCAAACATGGCAAGCTTGTCTTATTCACCATCAGACTCATCATCTTATTCTTCTTCTTCTTCTTCTTCTTCTTCTCTACTCCATTACTCATCTTCAGAAATTCTTGTTTACTTTTCACTGCAGACCTTGTCCTCTTGGCTAATAAAGGTTTAGCATCCTCAGACACAGAGGGAGACTTCTTGGAAGAAGTCTTGGGCTTTTTGGGCTTGGGGGTCTGAGCCTCCACTGTTTGAACTTCCTCCTAATGGACTTGTTCCATATCCTCAACCTCCACAGCCTCTGAGGACTCTGAAACCTTCCCTTTTTCCTTTAGCCATCCTTTTCTTCTTACTCTCAGCAAGAGCCTTTTAGAGATCACTCTCACTCTGCTTCACCCTACTTCTTGTAGCTCTTCCCTTTGGCAATGAAATTTCAGTAGTTGTTGGGGATAAATCCTTTCTTTTCTTGGAGGGTTTAGGAGCACTGGGGATTTTGGTGTGGGAGTTCTTCGTTTCTTTGGATCATAACTTGCCCCAACCTTTTTCAACAGGTCTGCTAGGGTCTCTTCAGTAGATGAACTAGGTTCATCTCCTTGTATACTTAGATTAACTAACCCTTCACCAGCCTCACCAGATCCACTTTACCCTGACTTCTTGCCACTCTCATCTACATTTTCTTGTTCAACCCCACAGATAGCTTGCACAGACAAATCAGCAGTGGGTGAATGATGAACCACTCTTTTCCCATTTTCCCTCTCTTCACCACATACACCCTCTCTCTCTTTTTCTTTTCCAGATTTGTTTTACCTCCACTCCTTCGTAACTCAGGTAATTCTACATCCCTGATATGCCCAACCAGAAGAAACCTAGTTTCTAGATTTTCAGTCAAAGAAGAACTTACCTTAGAAGGGGATTCTTGAGTCTTCTCAGAGTTAGAAGACCCAGGTCCTTCCCCCTCACTAGCGGATTTATATGACTCAGAATCAGAGTTGGAGTCAGAGTCTTGGACCTGGCTTGCCTTCAATTTCTCATTTAATTTCTTTGAGAGAGCCCCAGACGCTACTGTTTTTCGAGCAAGCATTTTCACCCTTCTCAACCTGGGTTTGGGAGATGTACTAGGTGGAGGAGGGGTAGATGAATTAGAGGGAGTGGGTGGTGGAGGAGTTACAGGATTGTCTTGTGGGTTTGTCATGATCGCTGGTTTCTTGGGAGAATTGGTGAGTTAGAGTTTTGGAGAAGAAAGCAAGTGGAAGTGAAGAAGGATTTTTGACGGTTTAGAACTATGGAGATGGAAGGAGGTAATGATGTGTATTTAAAAAGAAATACACATTTAATGTATAACGACAGCCTTAGTAGTAGCCAATTAGAGGTCTAATCAACCTAAAATTTCAGGTTTGAATGGACGGTTAGGCTTCCCTAGATTTTAGGCAATATTTGTGGTTTAGAGTTCTAAGGCTGACGGAACCGGTTCAAAGCTAATAGATAGAATTTTCTAAGGAGTTGAACAATTGTAGGACATCTTCTCATGATTTAAATATTTATATTTCTAATTGTGCAGAGTATAGAAAACATACCTTAGCTTTCAGATGAACCCATACTGATGAACCAGGTTCTTCATTTAGAATTCTCTTGACCATGCCTCAATTTACCATAATATAGAAAATTGTGTAAGAGATCAGTGAGTCATATTAACACATGTCACGAGAGTATACTAATTACAGCATGAAGCTGAGTAAAGATTAATCTAGATATTTACACGTTCAGATTTCTTAGCCAAAAAAATAATTTTTTTTTCATTCAATTTTTTTAGTTTTTTTTTCATTGTGCATTCTGAGCTGGTCCTATTAGGTGATCGTAATCATACCTAATTCCAACCTGTTCCTCCCAAAGTTTTCTCTACTTAGAGCTTTAGTGAAGATGTCAACGATTTGTTTATCAGTAGCACAGAATTCTATGGAGATCAATCCTTTCTCATAGTTATCTCTTAAGAAGTGGTGTCTAACATCTATGTGCTTAGTCCTCTTATGATGAATAGGGTTCTTTGTCATACTTATAGCACTAGTGTTATCACAGAAGATATGAATACAACCACCTTCAATGACAAAATCTATCAGTTGTTGTTTGATCCACATCAATTGAGCACAACAAGAGGCAGCAACAACATATTCAGCCTCAGTAGTGGATAAGGCCACTAAATTCTTCTTTTTAGTAGCCCATGATACAAGACATGAACCAAGAAAATGAGCCATACCTGAGGTGCTCTTTCTATCCACAAGGAAACCTGCATAGTCAGCATCAGTATACCCTACTAGATTGAAATTACTACCTTTAGGGTACCAAAGACCTTCTTGACAGCAGTCAAGTGAGATTCCTTTGGATTATCCTAAAAGCGAGCACAAAGCCCTACACTGAAAACTATGTCAGGTCTACTGACAGTAAGATACAAAAGTGAACCAATCATACTCCTATACAACTTCTGATCAACAGATGAACCAGGTTCATCTATGTCTAATTTAGTGGCAGTTGCAATTTGGGTGTCTATTTCCTTTAAATCATCCATTTTAAACCTTTTGATAAACTCTTTTGCATATTTTTGCTGATGGATCATGGTTCCATTTGGGTTTTGTTTGATCTGTAAGCCGAAGAAAAAGTTAAGCTCACCCATCATACTCATTTCAAACTCACTCCCCATTAATTTGGCAAAATCCTTACTTAGTTTGTCAGTGGTTGCCCTAAATATTATGTCATCAACGTATATTTGTAATACAAGAAGATCCTTACCTTTTTCCCTCAAGAATAGAGTACTGTCAATTTTACCTCTTTTGTAGCCATGTTCAAGGAAGAATTTGGACAATTGTTCATACCATGCTCTAGGAGCCTGCTTGAGTCCATATAGAGCCTTGTCTAATTTGTACACATGTTCAGGACATTCCCTGCTCTCAAACCCTGGAGGTTGTTTAACAAACACTTCTTTTTTTAGGTAGCCATTCAGGAAGGCACTTTTGACATCCATCTGATGAAGAGTGAATTCCATGTGTGCTGCAAAGGCTATGAGGAGTCTTATTTCCTCCAGTCTTGCAACTGGAGCAAAAGCCTCATCATAATCTATACCCTCCTCTTGGCTGTAACCTTGGACCACCAGTCTTGCCTTGTTTCTTGTAACTGCTCCATCTTCATCAAGCTTGTTTTTGAAGACCCATTTTGTGCCAATTACTGATCTGTCCTTGGGTCTTGGAACTAGATGCCAAACTTGACTTCTCTCGAACTGATTGAGTTCATCTTGCATTACATTTACCCAATCTGCATCCTGCAAAGCCTCAACAACATTTTTAGGTTCAATAAGAGATAGGAAATCATCAAAAGCACACAGATTCTTTAATTGTGATCTAGTTTTAACTCCAGAGGATGGATCAGTAATTATGTTCTCAATGGGATGAGAACTTTGATACTTGTGAGGTTTCACAACCAACTGATTTCTGCTTGATGTTTCTCCCATATTTTGTTGCTGAGGAACAGGGTCATGAACAAGTTCTTTTAGGGAATTGGCTTCAGTTCCTCTTTAATCAGTTCCCCCTGTCAAGTTGCCCTGGATGGAAGAATATGTTCCATCACATGTTCCTTCTTTTGGTGCCACTTTAGCTTGAGCTGAGACTTCACTCAGATCTTTTACTAGCCCAATAGCTTCATCTTCATGTTCCTGCCTCTTAGAAAGAATGTTAGTTTCATCAAACACTACATGTACACTTTCTTCTACACACAAAGTTCTTTTATTGAACACTTTATATGCTTTTCTATGTGAAGAATATCTCAAGAATGCCCCCTCATCACTTCTGGGATCAAACTTACCTAGGGAGTCCTTTCCATTATTGTGCACAAAGCACTTGAATCCAAATGCCCTAAGATGGGATATATTTGATTTTCTCCCTTTAAGTAACTCATAGGGAGTCTTCTTTACAAGTGATCTAGTCATGCATCTATTTATGATATAACATGCAGTGTTTACAGCCTCTGCCCAGAAGCTATGGGACAGTTTACTAGAAAGAAGCATAGTCCTACCCATATCTTCAAGAGTCCTATTCTTTCTTTCAACTACTCCATTTTGTTGATGAGTCCTAGGGCAGAGAAGCTATGATCTATACCATGCTCATCACAAATTCAGCAAACTTAGCATTTTCAAATTCAGTTCCATGATCAGCCCTAATGGATGCAAGTTGATTACCTAGTTGTTTCTGAGTTTTTCTAACAAAGGCAGCAAACATGTCAAATGCTTCATCCTTAGATGTTAAGAATAGTACCCAGGTAAACCTATAATAATCATCAACAAGTACCATCACATATTTCTTACCACCTCTGCTCAATGTTCTCATTGGACCACAGAGATCCATATGAACCAGTTCCAACGTCCTGGTTGTGCTTACCATTTTCTTGCTTTTAAAGGATGATCTTACATGCTTCCCCCTTGCATAGGCCTCACAAACTTTGTCTTCATTGCACTTGATGTTAGGTAACCCTATCACCAAATCCTTGGAGACTAATTTGTTGAGTTGATTCAGACTTGCATGACCAAGTCTTTTGTGCCACAGGAGGGGATCATTGTCCAACACACTTAAGCAAGTGAGTTCTTTTTTTGAAAGAGTGGAAAAATCTACAATGTAAATATTGTTAACTCTTTTTCCCTGCAAAACAATCTTGTCAGTGGTAAGGTTAATCACAAAGCATTTGGTAGAGGTAAATGCTACAAGGTTACCTCTGTCACACAATTGTGATACACTGATTAGGCTATATTTCAAGCCATCTATCAAGTAGACATTCTCAATGGAGTGTGAGTTTGTCTTACCTACCTTTCCAACCCCAATAATCTCACATTTCTTCCTATTTCCAAAGGAGACATTACCTCCTTTTAAGTCCTCAAGTGAAAGGAACTGGTTCTTGCTTCCAGTCATATATTTTGAGCAGCCACTATCCATGTACCATATTTGGCTACTTCCCTTCACTTGGGCCTGCAAAAAGAAATCAGGGGGTTAGTCTTAGGAACCCAAACTAGTTTGGGTCCCTTTCTATAGGCAAAAGGGTAAATCAAATTCCTTTTAGCCCACCTAGGCAACCTATTTTTCTCTTGAACAAAAGCTTTGTTCTTTTGACTGGCCTTTTCTTTTGCATTACATTCATTTTTGTAATGACTAGTCTTGCCACAGTGTGTGCAGATTTTATTTTTAGGAAGAGTGAGGTACTTGCTTTTGGGGTCCCACTTAGGTTCTTGTGCCCCATAGCCAAGTCCTCTCTTGTTGCTACTGTGATATTCTTGTAGCCAGGATAGTGCATCAGAAGCCTTATTTCGTTTGCAAGTTCTATCTAGTTCATGTTTTACCTTCCTTAGGTCTTCTTTTAAGACTCTTATCTGCTCATCTTTCCTGTACAACTCATCTTTTATTTTTTCTAGGTTTTCTTCTAAGGTGAGATGTGTATGATCAGCTTTCTTCTTACATGTTCCTAATTTTAGTTTTAAATTTTCAGACCTAAGTTCTAGGACACTGGTGTCAAGTTCAAGAACCTGGTTCTTCAACTCAGTATTTTTACTGTCACTCTCATTAGCCCGAGATTCTAGATTTTTGCACTTGGCTTTTAAGATCACACACTCCCTAGACAACTCTTCCTTCTTATTGTTAATTATCGCAGACTCATCGATGAAGTCCAGCAATAGTTTAGACAACCTTTCTTTAGACAGAAATTTAATCTTGTCTTTGAGATGAAGGACACTTACCTCTTGTTCATCATCTGATTCTCCGATGGCCATAAGTGCTTGTTCATCTCCAGCTTCATCTTCTGAATCCTCATCTAATGTTTCTCCCCAAGCAGCAACCATAGATTTAAGTTCACTTGTTAGTGTTGTGAACCTTGTGTACATCTCCTAGATAGTTTCTCCTTCTTTAATAGTGAAATTCTTATATTAAGAGTATAGCAGTGTTCCTCTTGATCTCTTTAATTAAGGAGTTCCTTCATGAGCCACTTGTAAAGTGTCCCATATCTCCTTAGCAGTGGTACAACTTTGTATCCTACTGTACTCGTCTGGACCCAGTCCACACACAAGCCATTTCTTGGCCTTGGCATTCTTCTCCTATTTCTTTTCTCCTATTTCTTCAAGTCTTCAGCAGTGCAGTCAGCTCTTATCTTTGGCACGTCTACTCCTTCAGC